AATTGGAAGATTTGAATGGTTCATTGGAAGCACATGAGATGAGGATTGTCGAAAGGAAAGGAGTTCAAGACTCGATACAAGCACTACAGATGCAATCGTAGAAGAAGAATAGCGGTGCCAACAAGTTCAAAGGCAAAATCGACAAGACTTAGGGCAAGTCTTAATCGATTCCTCACAAGAATAAGATCGATGATAGAACTTCTGAATTCTCGAAAAGAGGAGAAGAAAATCCCTATCAGAAAGACAAAGTAAAGAAAAGAGGTGTGCAGTGCTATAACTGTGAAAAGTATAGTCACTTGGCTAAGCATTGTTGGTACAGGAAAGACAAGGGTTTGAAAAAAGGAAATGGTGAATGAGCGAATCTTGCACGTCAAGATTCAGATGATTTTGATGATATCGTGGTTATGGCTGCAGTTACAGATGACCATGTCGAATCCAAGATTTGGTTCCTCGACTCAGGCTGTTCGAATCACATGAATGGTAAAAAGACATGATTAGTAGATTTTGACGAGTCAAAGAAGAGTAAGGTGAAACTTACTGATAATAGCTCGTTGCCAGCAGAAGGTACTAATAACATAGTTATTCAAATGAGTAATGGAGCAAAAGCCTTGATCAAAGATGTATTCTATGTCCCTGGAATGAAGTGCAATCTGCTAAGTGTTGGACAACTGGTCGAAAAGGGGTTCTCAGTGGTTACTAAAGATAGAGCCTTAGAACTTTTTGACATTCAGAATAATTTGGTCTTGAAATCTCCACTGTCGAAGAATAGAATATTTAAGACCATGATCAATTCGACTGAGGTACAATGTCTCAAAACAGTTGCGACCACAAGAATATTTGGTTGTGGCATCTGAGGTTTGGCCATCTAAACTTTAGGTCGCTAAATAAACTGATCACTCACGATATGGTAACTGGTATACCAAGTCTTGAGATGCCCGACAAACTATGTGAAGGTTGTCTAGTCAGAAAGCAGTCCAAGAAGTCTTTTGTTTCAACTCTGCCAATGAGATCATCTTGCATACTCGAAGTTGTACATTCAGATGTATGTGGTCTTTTTGACGAGCATACCATTGGTGGAAACAATTATTTCGTCTCATTTTTTGATGAGTACAGTCGAAATCTCTAGATCTATGTGATCAAACAAAAGGACAAAGTATTTGAAATTTTTAAGAGATTCAAGATACTTGTCGAAAACTAGGGTGAAAAGAAAATTAAAGTTCTGCGAATAGATGGAGGTGGCGAATACACATCCAAGATATTTGAAGCATTTTGTGCAGAATATGGTATTGATTATGAGATAACTGCTCCTTATACTCCTCAACATAATGGAATAGCAGAAAGAAGAAACAGGAAAATATTGGACATGGCAAGATGCATGCTGAAGCAGAAGAATTTGCTAAAATCCTTATGGGATGAAGCTGTTTCGACTGCTGTTTATATTCTAAACAGGTGCCCTACCAAAAAGTTGAAGAACAAGCTTCCTGAAGAAGTGTGGAGTGGCAAATGACCATCAATGAGTCATCTGAAGGTGTTTGGATCTATTTAATACAAGCATATTCGTAATGCTAAGAGAAGGAAGCTTGATGATGAGAGTGAACCTATGATTCTGGTAGGATATCATAAGACTGGAGCATACAAACTGTTCAATCCAATAAATCAGAAGATTGTGATGAGTCGAGATATTGTGATTAATGAAAATTCTGCGTGGGATTGGAATTCTAGTAATGCAATTTACAAGCCACTGATGAGCTATGATTTCGACAAAGCAAGTAATAATGTCGAAGTCGAAGACATTATTGATACTCCAGTCGAAGAAGACGTCAAAACAGGTAATGATGTCAAAGTCGAAGAGGATACGGTTGTCACAAGTTAGAGACCTCAAAGAACTAGAGCTCGTCCAACATGACTTCAAGACTATGAAGTAGTTGGTGATGATGAAGTCACAATAGATGGGGAACTAGTCCATTTTTCTTTACTTGCAGGTGCTGAACCAGTTAACTATAGTGAAGCCTTCAAAGATAAATAATGGAAGTCTGTTATGGTCGAAGAGTTACAAGCAATTAAAAGAAACAACACATGGGAGTTGGTTGAATTCCCAGCCCATACAAAAGGTATCGAAGTAAAGTGGGTGTTCAAGTTGAAGCTCAATGTTGATGGGTTGGTAGCAAGGCATAAGGCGAGATTGGTAGCTCGAGGATTTCTTCAGAGAGAGGACTCAATTACTCTGAAGTATTTGCACCTATCACAAGATTGGAAACTATTCGACTAGTGGTGGCCTTGGCATGCAACCAAGGCTGGTCAACATTTCACTTAGATGTGAAATCAACATTTTTGAATGAACCTTTAGAATAAGAGGTGTATGTCACACAACCTCACGGGTTTGTGATTTAGGAGGAAGAAGGTAAATTATACAAGTTGCACAAAGCGCTCTATGATCTCAAGCAGGCACCTAGGGGATGGAACAAGAACATCGATTCATACTTGGTTGAATTGGGATTCATAAAATTCAAATCTGAGTATGGTATCTATGTTTAAGTAGTGACAGAAGATATAACAATAAACTGCTTATATGTCGATGACTTGCTAGTAAATAGAAATAGCCTGAAGAACTTGTCGAAGTTCAAAGAGTTGATGAAAAAGGAATTTAAAATGTCGGATCTGGGAAAATTGTCATACTTCCTAAGCATGGAATTTCAAATGTCGAAGTAAGGCATGTTGCTACATCAAAGAAAGTATGTCAAAGAGATACTCAAGAGATTCATAATGGATGATTCGACAGCTGCATCTTCGCCCATCGAACCAAATTTAAAGTTGGAGAAGCATGGAGAGGGAGACAAAGTCGACGCAACTTTGTTCAAACAGATTGTCATATCTCTAAGATATGTGTGCAACAGTCAACTTAATATATGTTTCTCAGTCGGATTACTGAGCAGATACATGAGTGAACCAAGGATGTCACACATGAATGCTGCAAGAAGAATCTTGAGATACTTAAAAGGATCAACAAACTATGGAATTATATTTCGACGAGATTCTGAAAATAAAGAAGCTATAGTTACTTGTTACTCAGATGCTGACTGGTGCAGAGATAAGAAAGATCGAAGAAACACTACTGGATATTTCTTTCAAGTATTTGGTGCCTCAATTTCTTGGTGCTCGAAAAAGCAATTTGTGGTGGCATTATCATCATGTGAAGCTGAATATATAGCAGGATCCTATACTGCATGTCAAGCAATTTGGATCAGACCGGTACTTGATGAAATGGAGGTCGAAGTGAAGAAAACTCTTGTATTACAAATCGACAACAAGTCTGCCATAAATCTAGCGAAGAATCCAGTTCTGCATGGAAGAAGTAAGCATATCAAAGCTAGATTTCACTTCTTAAGGGAAAAGGTAAATCAAGGTGAATTTGAAGTTAGGCACTGCTCAAGTGAAGCACAGTTGGCCAACATTTTCACCAAAGGATTGAAGATCGACAAATTCCTGAATTTGAGAAAGAAATTAGGAATAGTTCAGATCGACAATGACTAGCATATATTCGACAACTTAGATTATGAGGAGTATGTTAAAATATTATATTAGATTTGATTAGATTTAATATTTAAATATAATCCCAGTTGTGTTGGCCCAAGCCCAAGTAAGGTTCGTTATTCAGTTTGTATATAAATAGTCATAATATGTATCATTATTTTATAACAATTCAATAAATTCTTATTTTCTTATTCTCTCTTTCTCTCCTCAAAATATCTCACGCAGTAACAAATATAATAGAGAGATGTTGCAAACTAATGGGCTTTATGCCCAACAAATATATTTGAATATTTAAATTAATTAATTTTCAAAAAATATTTTTAAATAAACTTAATTAAAGTTATTAATTAATAATTAATTATTAAAAAATATTAATTAATAAATTATCTTAGTAATCATTGTCATGTCACTAAAAAATAATAAAAAGCATTAATTTAATTAATAACAAAATATTAAAAATAATAAAAAATAATTTATTCTAGTCAGTCATTCCACATCATTAAAAGATGATTTGATATTCTTATGACATATGTAAAATTGGAGGGGACCACGTCATTATGCTCATGCCATATCAATACAATTTGTTCTTAATTTCAGAGGGATTAAAATCCTGAAAAAATAATTAAACATAGACTAAAAATTTAAATTTTAAAATAAGAGAATCAAAATTTAAGAGAAAAATAGAAGAATCAAAGTTGAAATTAAACCTTAACTTTTTAAATTACTTTAAAAAAAGTTAAGAGAATAAAAATAAAAATTAATAGTTTGTGTGTGCGCTTTAAGAGATACTCCTTCTGTATTAAAATCCCTGTTTTTTTAATAAATTAATTAACTTTTAGCAAGAAAAAATGATTCATTTGAAAAAAACAAATAAAATACAAGCCGATTTTAATGGATCCAGACAAACACGGAAACTAATCTCAAGAAACAATCATTTATACCTAAATTATCTACTTACCAAATGATTACAATATGCCAATAAACCTTTAACATTTCCCGTACATAAAATGATACGAGTTGGTGGTTCTGAAAAATAAATTAAATTTATTTTAAAATAAATATTATTTTGACTCTAGAAAAAATAATTTTTTTTTCTAATTGTATTATTTAATTTTTATTCAATACATTATTTTTAATAAATTTATTAAATTAATTGATTAAAAGTATAATATATTATAAAAATATTATTATATTTCTTAATCTAGTGGAATAATCTTAAACGGTCATCATTTTAAATGGATGCTAGTATACGAATTGAATGAAAGAAAAAAAAGAGAAGTAATGTAAAAAGAGAGAAGTAAACGGAGGATAATTTGGTCATTCCATTTTGCCATGAGGACCAATGATTATCTTTCTTATAAACCAGCCAATAGAAATCGAACCAGTGATAGTATAAATAGTTAGATCGAGAGGAAGAGATTCAAGAGTAAAAGTAGAAACTTTTAGTACCAGAGTTTTGGGAGAGTGAGATGGCACAGTGGTCGTTGCTTATCGTTTTGTTCTGCGTCGCCACCGCCGCTGCCGGATTCAGCTTCCATGACTCCAATCCTATTCGAATGGTCTCCGACGCGGAGGAGCAGTTACTTCAGGTGATCGGAGAAAGCCGTCACGCTGTCTCTTTCGCCCGTTTCGCTAACAGATACGGTAAGCGATACGATAGCGTTGATGAGATGAAGCTTCGGTTTAAGATCTTTTCGGAAAATCTTGAACTTATCAGGTCTACTAATAAGAGACGACTTAGTTACAAGCTCGGTGTTAATCGTATGTGTTATTGATTTTTCTTTGACTTTCATTTTTTTTGTTAGTTAGGTTTTGTTTGGATTTGACTGAGATTTTTGAGTTGCAGATTTTGCTGATTGGACTTGGGAGGAGTTTAAAAGTCATAGACTTGGTGCTGCTCAAAATTGCTCTGCGACTCTGAAGGGTAACCATAAGATTACTGATGCTAATCTTCCTGACGAGGTATATCAGCAACAACTACTATCAATTCTATGAATTGCTATGAATGAATTTAATAAATATGGAAATTGAATTGATATAAGTTTCAATTATTGTATTTTATCGAATTATTATCGGGGATAGATGTGTCAGGATAGTATATGTGTATCGGTTGGTGTATGTGTTGGTGCTACTTATTTATAGTTGGGACGCATGACATACCTTCAATATGAAGTTGATGTTGATGTATATAAACTCTATTATCTCTATTGTAGCTGTTGTTGGTATTTGATATTAATATGAAATGCTTATTAGGTTAGTTTCAATCCTAACACCAATTAATTTAAATTTTGGTTATTTTGTGATTGGAATCAGTGTTGTGGATGGCAGATAGCGGTCCATGACGGAGAGCCAAAATCCTGCCATATTGGCCGCTTTGCCGTGCCACTATAGCGGATTATGATTATTGCGAACTCAAAAACAGCCATGTATATCCGACATAGCGGTCATGGCGCCGCTATTTGATAACACTTTGGAATAAGTGTATCAAGATTAATGAGATGGATAAAACTGTGATTTTTGATAGAACACTATAACAGTTTGATTCGTGTAGTCAATTCCACTTACTAGGATAAACTTGGTTGTTTTTGTGATTGGAATGAGTGTATTGCTTGATCATGTGATGTAATAGAGTGTGTGTGACCATGGAAGGAGATTGCTTTCTATGTATTATCATTAATTTCCTGCCATTCAACTGAATTTTCATGTTTCTTTCCTCAATTACTAACGGAGGAGCTTTGGATTAATTTTGTTTTCTTTTTGTTCTTGTGTGCAGAAAGACTGGAGGAAAGAAGGTATAGTCAGTGAAGTTAAAGATCAAGGCCACTGCGGATCATGCTGGACATTCAGGTTGCTTTCTGACTGTGAGGAACTTTTTGGAATTATTAGAATCTTTGTGAGTAGGTCTATTTGAAAATTCTGAAGACTAAGTGCTGGAGTTGCCATCTTAACTTCTTGAAACCCTATCCTCTGGTCATATAAGCAAGCTGTTATTTTAGAATTGCACAAGCAAACTTGACATTATTTCTTTTGTTCAGTGTCTTTAGTTCACTTTCTTAATTTGATGCATTTAAAATTCCACCCACACGGGCTTGCATGTAGTTCCATGTTATCATATCTCTAACCATAACACTGTCCTCTGCAGCACAACTGGAGCGTTGGAATCAGCTTACGCACAGGCATTCGGAAAGAATATCTCTCTTTCTGAGCAGCAGTTAGTGGACTGTGCTGGTGCTTTCAATAACTTTGGATGCAGCGGTGGGTTGCCGTCACAAGCCTTTGAATACATTAAATACAATGGTGGCCTTGAGACAGAAGAAACATATCCCTACACTGGAAGTAATGGTCTCTGCAAATTTACATCTGAAAATGTTGCTCTTAAAGTCCTTGGCTCTGTCAACATCACCTTGGTAATAATGCGTTTGATTATTAATCTACCGCTTGATGTGTGTTAACTCTACCCTAGCTAGCCCTGGCTAAGTTAATTACTTAAGTTGGCTAAGCTATTAAGTATATATTAATGTTAGTTGGGGGTTGATTTGTCGGAAACAATTCCGAGCACCACCCTCATTTGCAATTTCCCTTTATTTTCTCTGTTGATCATCTATTCACATTATGGGATCATATTGATAATTGTAATGTTGCCTTGCATTTTCTCTGCAGAGGCATGGCAGAATCAGATCACTCAAACCTCAACTTCATCTATATATGATTTTCTAATTGTGTTTAATTTTTATTCGGTTGTAGGGTGCTGAGGATGAATTGAAACATGCAGTTGCTTTTGCTCGGCCCGTTAGTGTGGCATTTGAGGTGGTGTATGACTTCAGATTATACAAGAGTGGAGTTTACACTAGTACAGCTTGTGGCAACACACCCATGGTGAGTATGCTGCAATAGCAAGAAATAGTACCTGATCCTCCTCAAACAAGTGTTTTATTCAATTTTCAAAATAAAATGCTTTGCAACAAGTTTAACGCACTGATATAGTATATATCTTATACATGGCATAGCATCATGCTTCACCCGAAGTTAGCTAAATTTGAATTTTCCGTGCAGGATGTGAATCATGCTGTTCTTGCTGTTGGATACGGAATTGAAGACGGCATACCATATTGGCACATTAAAAATTCGTGGGGAGGTGATTGGGGTGACCATGGCTACTTCAAAATGGAAATGGGGAAGAATATGTGTGGTAAGGATCCACTGGATCTGAATTTATACAGCCGGAGATAATCATTTCTTAGTTAGTAACTGGCTTTTGTTAATCCTTTTTGTTTAATTTCAGGTGTTGCTACATGCTCCTCCTATCCTGTTGTGGCCTAAAAGGCAAATAGGGTGATGATGCCCAAAAGGATGCCTTGGTGACTTCCATCTTACACGTTACCTCTGTAGTTATTCATCTTAAACGTAAAATGCAGTGAGATAATGATAAGTCTTTGTTGATGTTAATCTGTAAAATAAGTTTGGAATTGAGACTCAATTTCTTCTATTTGCCATATACCACATTACTGAATAAGATTGTAAATTCTGTATCATTATCACATAGAAACATAATAAACTTCATCTGTTGCATTTCCCTTAGCAATTTAAGGATGTCATGCAGGGTGTTTGTTTATCATTTCATTACTTAATAGTTTTAGGCTCTTTGTGACGATCAATAATTTATGATCTCTGAAAATGTTAGAAGATAACATTAACCAAATTTTAGTTCTGTTATAAGATTAAAAAAAATTACAAAAACAACACAAAAACTTCATCAATGACAACTCTCTCTCTCACATGATGTCATATGGTTTGTATCTAATAATACTTTGTACCCTTTCATTTAAAACTCAAAAATATGATGTCATTGTCATTGTCTTTATCTGTTACTTGGTCATATCTAATGTATTATTGTGCGAGTCTAACAAAACAAACTTATTATAGGTAGAGTTAGATAATGGATACAAGATATCAACTAAATAGTACAAAATAATGAGGAAAACTATCGATAACTACTATACCTTCATTAATATATACCAATAAAGGTATTTTATTATTTTACAAGTACCTATTAGAATGGACGCCTTTTTCTAACATACACAACATTTGAAAAATTAAGAAAAAATGTTATTTATGGATGAATATAGTTGAAGATGCAAGATTAAAATTTTGACCCATCCTGCATTAAAAGTGAGGGCATATAGGACAGGCATGTGGAAGTCCGCATAAAAACGGAACAGAACGGGGAGAGTACATTAGAGAACAATAGTTTAAACCTTTAGCACATCACGCATTAAATTGCAGATAAAATGAACTGGTTGAAGGGCTGATCCTATTTTGGCACAGTTTGAAAAATATATTTTTCATGTCAAATAATGTTAATAGGACACGATAAATCAGTAGTTTTTCAAAATATAGAGTTATGTATACAGATATTATGTGTCAAAAAAACAAAAACAGATTTCTTATAAAAAAACAAGAGAGTTGTTTTCATTTATTTTACAATTGACAAGAAAAAAGAGTTGTGCACTCTCTCTGGTCAAGACTCATTTGTCGGTATCTATCTGAGATATCTTAAACCAAACGTCTCTAAGTGTGTTTGGGTAAAGACGTAAAGTCGACTAGGCCTTATGGCATGGAGCTGAAAGAAACTTCCTCCATCTCTAACATAATTTTGGATGTGTGCAGTTGAGAGAAAATACAAATTGCAGGAAAATGGATATATTATTTTAAACTAAAAAACAGCAGATAAAACCTCAAAAATTTTATGGCTAAAACCGCAGGTATATGAATTAGCTATAGGATGTATTATTATTAACATTTATTTTTTTAATTTTTCAATTTTAATTGCTATTGTATATATTCTTTTCTATTTCAAAAATATGAAAAATATGTCTCGATTGAATTGTCTATTAGGCAAAGATTAAATTTTGGTTCTCTCTCATCTTCACGTTTGATTGAAGGTAAATGGAGAGGAAGGGGGAGATATTTATAAAAATATGTGTTTGGTTCGGTTTTTTATAAGAGGAGACGAGGGGAGAAGAGTTGAGCAAATTCTCTCGTAGACTCACTTTTTGCTCCCTCTCAAATTGAGAGATTTAGAGGGAATGGGAGATTCGTTGTTTACAATTTTATTATATTCCCTGATTTATCTTCAATTATTTATTTTAATTTTAAAATTGTCCTTATTGAATTATTAAAAACTAGGTTTAGGTTTTTCTCTGTATTGTTTCACGTTTCTTTTTTCTTCTATTGTGTTGTTGCTATATGTGCATTGTTGGTCTCAGGTTAGTTTTTTTCTTTTTGTTTTGTCGAATTTTCCTGTTTTGATTTTGTGTTGTTTATACGTGTAACATATAACTATAATCGGTAGATGATCAGTTGTCGTTAACTAAAAATTATGATTGCTCGATTGCCGTTGTTGGTGCACAAGGTTAAAAGAGATGAATATAATGAGAGAATATGTTTATGTTCTGCAAATGACGGCTACAAAGTTGTAAGAAAGAATTACATTAAATGACATCTACTACTAGTCTATTTATGCACAGGAAACTAGGGTCACATAGGCAACATACTAAAGTACCAAATTACCTTCTAACAAAGCTTAGTCACTAAGTTTTGTAAAAATATAAATTATTTCTAACATCATTCCTTAATTTATATTTACCCAAAACCGACACACCAATTTCATCCCTTAAGCGAAGAAATTGATCGGTCTTGATAGCCTTCGTCAGAACATCTGTCAACTGCTCCTGGGTACTATAGTGTACAACTTCTAGCACTACATTCTGAACCTGATTTCTCAGAAAGTAATACTTAGTCTCAATATGCTTGCTTCTCCCATGCAACACTGGATTTCTGACAAGATTGATTGCAGAAATGTTATTAATCATCAGCTTGAGAATCTTGTTAACTTTGATCTTCAAATCCTGCATTAAATTCAAAAGCTACACAGCTTGACATGCAGTCGCAACACCTGCGATATATTCAACTTCACAAGTTGATAGCGCAACAATAGGTTGTTTCTTGGAACACCAAGAAATAGGACCTCCCAGAAACTTAAACAAGTACCCAGAAGTACTTTTCTGTCAACTCTGCCTCCACACCAATAAGAATGTGAATAACTCAGAAGTTCTGATTCAATCTTTCTTCCAGAAGGGAATAACACTCCATACTTCAGAGTTCCCTTGATATACTTCAGAATTCTGACAGCAGCTTGGTAATGGGACCACTTAGGTTGACTCATAAACCTATTAAAAATTCCATGTGCATAGCAGATATCAGGTCTGGTATTACACAAATACCTCAAAGAACCAACCAATTGTTTGAAGGTTGTAGCATTCATATCCTCACCATCAGAATCAAAATTCAGTTTCTGATTTGCATCTGCATGTGTGATAGTAGCCTTACAACTTTGCAACTTAAATCTCTTCAGAAGCTCAAGTTCATACTTCAGCTGATGCAAAACGATACACTTCTCAAAGTATATAAACTCCATCCCTAAAAAATATGTCATTTTTTCGAGATCAGTCATTTCAAACTCCTTCATCAGCACCTTCTTGAACTTAGATATCTCTTGTTCAGAACTCCCTATCAGTAGTATCATCAACATACAAACACACTAGAATCATATTGCCTTCAGAAGTATGCTGAAAATAAACACCGAACTCCATCTCACATTTCTGAAACCTGTCATACCCCAAATTTGTCCTACCTGTATATAATATTTCATCTGTACATTCGTCTGCTAACCATTATGTTCAAAAACCCAAAAAAATATGTTGTTTTCCTGTTGCCTAAGTCCAAGATTCATTTGAGGATATTAAGCCAGGAATGTGTGTTGAATTTCATCTGACTGTTGGTCAGGCAAAGGGGTTTGTATCATGATTGAGACCAAGGTGTGCATGATTTAAGCGGTGTGGATTTGAGTTTTCAATTAGGTTTTCTACCTATACAGGTCGTATGTGGGTGAGTCAGGCTATCAGGTTGTGATAAGTGCAGAAGTTTCATGGTTGAAGATTATCCAGGACCAAATCATTCCTAATTTAGGGTTTTTGTGCAGTTGTAATGCAGTTCATATCAAGTTATTGTCTTCTGATTTCAAAACTGTGATAATTTGGTTCATGGTAAAAGATTGTGGTTCATTTGCGATCCCAGTGACATTGGTTCAAGATGGCTCCATTTCTTTATTCAATATCAGATTCATATGGATTTGTTGATTCACTGCACCAATTCATTCTCAGGACAAGATTTCATAATCGATTTTATTTCTCAAGAACTTTAGTCAAGATGATAGTTATTCAAAGATGATTCAAAGTGGTTTCAAGTGAATTTTTGGATACGGCAAGTCCATTCAAGAATGTCATTATTTTTTTATATACAAAGATTTGTAAAATCAAGCGCATTTCAAGTTCAAAAGTGCTAATGGAGGGTGCAAAAATAAGAAATTTACTACAATTCTAAGAGTCCATTTCATCACAAATAGAATTTTACAAAAATACATTGGATCAAGGATTTAAAGTCCATTTCATTTTTTTTCAAGTCAATCATTCATGACTAAAGAAAATCAAATTTAATTAAAAAAAACTATTTTTAAACTAACCCAAATATAATAATTAGTTCTATTAATTCTAATAAAATGCTAACAAAATAAAATTCTGGAAATAAACTCAAATAAAACTCTAAACTATTTCTAATAATTTATTTTTAAATAATATATAAAAAAAACTATTTAAACTAATTCTAAATTAAATCTAATAACAATAGTTTCTAATAAAATTAAACTCTAAATCTATTAAAAATAAAATTCTACCTCTAGACTAGTTCTAAAAATCTAATCTTATAAAAACAATTGTTTTCTATTTTAAAAACCAATTAAATTCTAATTAATCCTATTAAAAAATCTAAACTATTTCTTAAGAAACAAATAAATTTCTATTTAAAAAAATCACCTAAATTCTATTTTCTATTTTAAAAGCTATATACAAAAAAGAAATAATTCTTAATAAAAATCTATTCTAAGATCAAAATATGGATATTTGGAAAAGAAAAAAAAAAGAGAAAAAAAGACAAGATTTAATATTTACAAAAATACCTTTTTTGCCATGTGTCACACTCCTATTGGGCAAAATACTCGAGATTTAAAAAACGCTCAATCGGGGGTGGATACGTGTCTAAACGACATGAAATTAATAAAAAAATGCAAAACAAAAATGCGAAAATATTTGAAAATAGGTAGGACAAATTTAGGGTATGACACCTGTAGAGTACTAAGAAGTTTAGGGTGCTAGTACCTTCCCTAGACTTAACCAACCCCTTACCTAGGTCTCTCCCCGTATTGT